GCAACGATTGCTCAAAACAGATCCCGAAACGAAAAACCAAATTTTGGTGGAGCTCGGGACCCAGACCGATCGGTCTAGGCCTAGACCGATCGGTCTACATGGCTCGGTCTCCAAGTCAAGTTCGGTCCAGACCTTTCGGTCCGGAATGGTCCAGACCGATCGGTCTTGATCCAGACCGATCGGTCTACGCATGCAGACCGTTCAGTCCGGACCTGTCGGTCCAACCGACTTGCGAAACCCTAGACCGATCGGTCCAGAAGACCAGACCGATCGGTCCAGGCGAAAACGTGATCAGATCTCGTTTTCGTCGTTTCTGCCCCGTTTTATACCCGAATTCGACTCCGTTTTCGCCTGCAAACTCAGAATTCGAAGCTCTAGATCCAAAATCAAATCATGCATAGCATCAAAGCAAACACAGATTCAAACAATTCAAATCCTATAACGTGCGTGATCGGGTTCTAACAAAAATCATGCAGAGCAACCAGACTCTGATACCACTGTTGGGTTTTCCTGGGATCTCAAGAGCGAATCTAATTCCTAAGAGATCAGTTCTAGGGTTTGCGCAGTGGATGTAAAACAAAATTTTTGATGAAACCCTAAAACCTATCATGCATGATCTTGTAGAAACGTTAGAACGCTTACCTCAATCGATCTGGGGCCTGTATCAATTGATGTGTTCGTCCGATCACTGTAGGCAGGAAGAATACCTTGCCCTCTACACGTATCCACACGGCGGAAAGGATTCCAACGGTTGGAACTTGTCTGCTAGGACTGAAGAACGCTTTCTTCTTTGCGCAAGGGTTTCAGGGATCTTTCTCTTAGTTTTTTTTTTTACTCTCAAAACCTCTCAATAGGGTCTGAAAATCGTGCCAAGAGAGTTCTGAGGCGTTTCCATAAGTTTATCCCACTTAAAACCCTAATTAGAGCGAGTTTAGGAAATCCTGACGTCTGGACCGATCGGTCCAGGCCTGGACCGATCGGTCTAGGCCTGGACCAATCGGTCTGGAGCTTTTACGTCTGGACCGATCGGTCCATAGGTCCGGACCGATCGGTTTGGAACACTTTCCAGACTGTGTGACTGTCACACGTTATCTCCGGACCGACCGGTCCACGTGTCTGGACCGATCGGTCTGGGTTGGATGGACCGATCGGTCTAGACCTTCTAGACCGGTCGGTCTGGCCTCTGCTCCACCAGGATTTTCTCGTCTCTTCTCGCGCATTTGTCCCTTCATGTGTGTGTGACCCTGTAGCTCATCCGATATAGCAGTATAACCCGAAATCTCTATTCCGGATATACAAGTCATAGGCGGTCTCTAGCAAGACACTATGACTACCTATTTTGAATAGAGTTTGTTCGTGATCTTACGAACGCCAGTGATGATTCCGGTTGATGATCCTTTTGTATCATGATATCATATGTCGAATATAAGGCATGGACAAGCCACCTTATCTGATTCG